TTTCATTACATCATCAATCGATAAGTAGTTTTCTTGTTTAGAGTAGCTATCATATCGTGTACCACTTGTGGTAATATTAGTAGAAATATGCTGGCACACGTGGCCTGGAGATCGTGTACCACCGGTGGTACACATGGCACGGAACGTGCTATTAAAGGATTACTTACTTTTGCAATTTTTTTCGTCTCTTGTTCGGCGGACTGCTGAGTTCGCTTTCTCGAATAATTTGTAAAGTCGATGGTATGAACATATCTTCTACGGAAAGATACATCAAAAAGAAAATTACAATGCGGGCAAATTTCTCACTCTTGTTCCGTATACGTATCATCGATGCACAACATACCGAAGGAATTGGCATATTTTCTCTTTGAAATGAACCTCTGATGCTGCTGCGGCTGCGGCAACGCCTCTCTCGCGCTTCCAACCGTACAATCTCTCGTCCCTTTGCAACCCTTCAAATGTTCCAACTGATCGTGAAGATAGGAACGTTCTGAAGACGTTAAAGACGAAATCCTGTTCCACTGTTCGAACGGATCTAAGCATAAAAGAAATAAAAATGCAATAATTGAAAAAAAAACCCTTTTTCTTTAGGAGACTTGATTTACAGTACTTACCGATCCTAAGGTTATAAAAAGTAACCAAACCGGTAGTAAATTCGCAGTAAAGGAAATTGTGTGTCGCGTTAATGGTACGAATGCACGAATACGTATTATTATTAGCATTCATGCAAAAACAGAATGGACCCGCGTTCCATAAAGGAGCTGTCCGCCAATGGTCGTTGTCGTGTTCGAAACAATTCATTTTCTCTGTTAAACACTCTTTCTCGAGTTTAGCCTTCTTTCTCAGCTTTCTCTCCTTCTTTTTCAAACGTTCCTCCTTTAACCTTCTCCTCTCCTCTCGAGCAATCTCTTTTTCATCCTTCTTCGAGTAAGAATCAGGCTCGCAGTAGCATTTGTGACGAGCTTCCAAAGGATTGTTCAGCATCGGTGGTAGTCGACGATTGTTATTTGCTATGTCTATGATGTCTGTTTATAAAACGAGAGTAGACTCGATTAAATCCAGTGAAACGTACATACAGTCGCTTCTTATTACTTTGAGATTTCATCGACGTTATAATTATGGTTATATAATTTACGTAATTTAAATGGAATCTAAAAGTTTGTAAATTTGTAATAAAATTTCAAGCCACTAACCTTGCCTGTTCCTTCTATCGGGAGACTCCAAGATGGTAACGTCGATCCTAGAAGGTCCTAAATTGGTCGTTCTATTTTTCTGTATCTTTGGGAACCTTCTAGTCGAAGATGTTGTAATTAATGTGGTCACGGGCGTTGTAGTTACAGTCGTGGACGGGATTGTAGTCCTAAAACGAGTTTCGGTATTCGTCCTGGAGAACACCTGGGAAGTCGTTCTTTGTGGCTCTGTCGATTCACCAAAAGTGAACCCTGTCTCAGACCCTGTCGATAATACGTCTGTTGTTTGTGCGTCTGTTCTTATCGTGATTTCTTTGGTAAAGTCATTCGTGGTTCCTGCACTGCTAGAAGTCTCCCTTTGAATCGTAGTTTCTTTCATCGTCATGGTAGGAACAGTCGTGTACTTGGTCTGACGATAATGGTGCCTCGGTGTCGTGCTCTGCGTAGTCACAGTCGTCTCGATTGTTTCGTTAACATTCACAATTGGAACCTCGTCATGTACGCTGTTCGTGAACAACGTATTGTTCCTTCGATGATGGTGAACCTTTCTGCGTCTTTGGGATTTATCATCCTCAACTTCCGTCCTGTTGTTAATAGGCTCCTTTATCTTTTGACGACGAGGCGTCTTCTTTGGTTTGGAAGTCGTCGACAACGTGGTCGAAGTTGGCTCGGTCGTGCCAATCGTATCGGTATTGGTTGGATTAGTCTCTGTTGCTGTAACGTTAAATCTAGATTTTTCCGTACTATCTGTAGACGTGGTTCTCTCATCCGTCACTTGATTGTGCTTCACGATGGAAAGAATAGTCGTTACAGTAGGATTAAGCGTAGTTGCATGATCATGCTTCTTGTGATGACGATTCACGTGGTTTCTCGAAGGGTGATGATGCGATTTATGTATTTCCTCTGTGTTCTTTGCTCCTGCATCTTCTTGGTCTCGTATGACTTGCGGTCGCTTGGTCATCAAATGACGGCGAATGTCCTGAAACGAGGAATATCACGTTATCTCTTTTCTATCAAATGAAACTTTTATCTTTTTTACTTTCAAGGTTTCCAACTGCGTCCTCATTTCTCTGATCTGTTGTTCAATTTCCCGCCTCGAAATTCGCCACTCATTCGGATCTTGGTACACGGTTTCTGAACAGTTTACTCCCCCTTGCGGAAGCACCGAGCATTTCGGTGGAAACGTTCTTCTTGATTCGGACTGGCGTGCTTGAGTCGCCTGAATGCGAAGATAAACGTCATGTCAGATTCTGATAAAAATTTGTTACGTCAGAAGTACCTTCAAGTCATCTAATTCTTCTTCGATACTCTCCATGATCTTTGTCACGTGCTCAACAGTATCTTTCTTCGCGACGTTCCTTCGTATCCTCCTATGCCTTTTCACCACGTCTTCGACGTTCAATCGGCCTCTCACCACCTTATCCAAGCTAGGATCAAAGTCTTCGATCGAGTATTCGGATTCGTTTAAATTATCGAACACGAGAGACTCGTCTTCCAACGTCCGGTTGTCAAATCTATCCCTGGAAGGGCATCCATCACCATGAAACGCTTTCGCGTCTTATCCAACGAATCATCAACGACTTTCTAAGACTTACGTACTTAAAGATCAAGTTTACGTATTCCCTCTTAACGTCTTCCGCGAGGCCGTTCAATTCCTGGAAGAAATCCTCGTCATCCTCCTCGTCGATGGCTCGCCGGTCCCGGTCACCGTCATTATACTCGTCCTCGTCTTCGTCGGTATCTTGGCTAGCATCTTCGTCGGCCGCGTCTGACACGTCTCGTTTGCCTGAGACGAAAAATCGTAAATGATCATCTCCTCTCTCTGACTAGAAATTATTAGTCTCTACCTCCCCATCCTTCTATTAATCTTTCAACGAATGGAAATTATTTCCGACGATAAGCCACGAGGCTATCGTCGAATCATTGCCGACTTCTTGTTCATTTTGTAAATAAATTTTGAAAAATTAGAATTCAACCAGTTCTGTATTATGGATTTATTAAAATTGAGAAATGTTGATATAAATGATTGAACTGATCGCAGTTTACATGTTATATGCTC